TAAAAACTCTGGTGCAGGAAGAAATTGAAAGACCCTGTTGTTATGATGATGATGATGTTGCTCAACATGAACAACGCTCGCCATGTCAACTTTTATCAATTAACACGCTGTAATTTTTGTTTCAGCATTTCCTTGGATACTACCCTTTCAAGAGCAAAACGCAGCTGGACGAATTCAGTCCAGAAGGCTGGTGTAAAGCTGCCATGTATGCTTTGCTTGTGAAGGAGGAGCTCGAATCGTGGCCTGAAAAGAGCCATCGACAAAGAAGTTGGCTAACAATCCCCAAGGCTATTGACTCCTGCCGGCATGCTTGGATGCGAGTCGCTCTTGAAAAAGGGTTTCAGAATTGGTATTCCGAAGGTATGATTCATACATTGCCAAAAGATGTTCCCAAGTCGTCTTCCAATCAGCGCTAAGAATTTTTTTGACATTATATATCGTAGTGCGATCTGAAGCTGATTTGGTTTAGGTGCCTTCTTGTTTTGATCTTCTCATTTCGTGCAAGGACGAGAAAGTGAACGAAGATGGAAGTAGTTCTCTCGTCATAGGTATTCAGAGTGTTTTGATCTGATATTTGGCTCCTTTTTAACATGTTATTTCTCTTTGTAATGAAACCATTGGACGAATTACTTGAAATGATGAAATGAAAAATGTTTTGTTCTTCATGATAGCTTCTCTATATCTTGAACTTCTAAATCAATCGTGTGCCCTTATTCATTGATCTGTCATTTCTTGCTGTTCTGCTAGCTTTCAACAAACTTATCAGCCTTTACGGCTATTATAATCTTATTATAATCTAATAATGTGTTTGATAAGAAAGACTGGACATTATTAAACAAAAACAAAATAGAAAAAATGTACCTATATATATACACGGAAATGATCTCTTAAATACAAGTGTTTAGTTTATGTTAAGTACAGATGACATGACACACTATTTAATTGGTGAATGAATTAATGGTAGGTTCCATGTTTTAATGATTCATCAATTAAATGATGTGTCATGTCATCGGTACTTACCACAAGCTAAACACCGATATTTAGGAAATCATATATATATATATGTATGTATGTATGTATGTATGTATGTACGTATGTATGTGTGTGTGTGTGTACACACATTTTCTTCAAAATGTCACGTGACTTTTGTACTACATTTTGAAGGGCATAATGAATTGAAAAAAGAATATAATACTTAAAAAGTTATAAGTAGATAAATTTATCGCTCGAGAGATGTAATAGAGAGGGTTGTACATGTTCTAAATTCGCCGTTTGGGACCTCACAAGAAATCAAGAAAGGGAATTGAATTCTCAACGAAGAAAATGCCTAATGTCAAAGTAGCTTTACTCTTGTATTCTATAATTAAAATCGATCAAACTTTATAATATGAACAGAATGCCAGATCATGATGAATAACAGTGGACAAATGAGAAGGATATGGAAAGAATAAAGTAATGAAAGAGAGACAACCTAATTTATGTACTCTCTAGGGGTATTTTTTTCAAAACCCTAACTTAAACAGCTACCCAAACTCATGAACAGTACAAAAAAAAAACTAAAACAAAAAAATAAAATAAAATAAACAATTATGCACTCTGAAAGTATAAAAAAATGATGTCTTTCTATGTGATTCCGGATCTCTTTATTAGTTCCCATTTGTTGTGCACTGTAAAAGTAGTAAAATTAATTAGTAATGCTGAGCATATAAAATTTACTTATAAGTTTTATAATACAAAATTCTTTTACTTGTCAAAAATAAGTGAATTACTTCTTTGGGAAGTTTTAATTAAAATATATATATATTTTACTTAGAAGAAAAAATAGCCTATTCAAATAAAACGAAAAGGTTACTTAAAAGGGTATGTTTAGGTAACCTCAAAGCATAACCAATGACATTGATCCTCTTAAGCCTTTCCAAATGTCCCACTTCAAGTACTTACCTTTATGTTGCCTGGATTTGATCTTTCTTATAATGTGTTTGACATCCAATTTTAAGAAAAAATGAATTTTATAATAGTGGATTGATGGAAAATGTGTTAATAAAAAAAATATGAAAAAGTTTTTGATTTATTTGTAATATTATTTTAATCAAGAATAAGTGGTGAAAAAGAAGAAAGAGAAAAATATATTTTGATACATGACTCTATTCGAGTTCGTGCTATATCTTTTCAAAATTCAAAACAACTTATTTTCTTTAAAAAGAATAATAGGTCTAGATTGAATACTTATTTGGGGTTAGAGAATTTATTATTATTATTATTATTATTATTATTATTATTATTATTATTATTATTATTATGCTGTAAACCTCTTGAGCATATTTAATTGTTTGTATAATGGATTTTAAATCCTATAAAAATAGAGGAACTGAAAGGCCCTCTATCCCCAGCTACATATACACACACTGGTTTACCGTTCGCATTGGTTTGGTAGAAATTAAAATTAAGATTTTAATCTAAGTTAATGTTAATAATTAATTAAATCATATATTTTATAGTATTCACAACTTTTCAATAACATATTTCATCAACTTTTTTTCAAAATCTATTAAAAATCTAATTTTAATCTCTATCAAAAAATAGCTTATTTGAAATTTATATAGTGGCTATTTAGGATTCTTTTTACCTCTTTTCAAATTGGTTTAAGCTCTTTGTATAGAAAGGAAGCTACAAGAAGTCCACCAAATTACTCACATGATGGGCCCCATGTGAGTGATTAAATAATACCAAAAAATCACCTATCCATCCTATGTTGTGTGTTGTTGACCAAATTCTGTACAAAGACTTCTGTACATGCAGGTCAACTATTTGTATAGAAAGGAGGCTACAAGAAGTCCACCAAATTACTCACATGATGGGCCTCATGTGAGTGATTAAATAATACCAAAAAATTACCTATCCATCCTATGTTGTGTGTTGTTGACCAAATTCTGTACAAAGACTTCTGTTCATGTAGGTCAACTCTTTGAAATTCTACTGCGTCTGACAGCATGCACAAATCTAAACAAGCATTGTCACTTCAAGAACCAGGTGCATGTAAGCACTCACATAAAGTACATTTTTTAAGATTAATCTAATATACAATCTTGCTTCCATTGAATTTCATGGAATTATAATTCATTTATTTGAGTTCAATAATTGATGGTCTTTTCCTTTGAAATACTGAGAAACACGTAGGGATTAATTTAAAATAATGTTACACATGAATCGAATTTTTTATTTATTTATTCAATCAGTCATTTTTCAAAAAAAAAAAAAAACATTATTTTTCCCATTTTCATTTCAAAAAAATGGGGCTTAGGTATTCTTGAAATGCAGAAGTAACGTTAAACAATTGTAGCTAGACATGGCATCATTTTAGATGGTCCGGAACAAGGGCTAGTTTTATATAGATTTTGTGAAAAGTCAATTTTTAGAGAAAAAGTTATGAAAATGTTACATATATAAATTTATTTTATTAAAAGGATGTTGAATTAAAAATGAATTCTAAAAAAAATGAAGATTACAAACAAAGGCTAAACATACTACGTTAGGAATTTCCAAAAAGGTTAAGAAATTCTTGGATTTTAATACATTCAGAGTGTAGAAGAATGTTTTTTGGACACAAGAATGAAATCCAGCACATGATGTGATGAATAGAACAAGATAATGTCAATTTGCATCTCTAGGTGTTATATATTCAAGTATAATGGTAGTATTCGATGTTATGATTTACAACTTTATTCCCTCGTAATCGTTTAAAACTATGCCCTTGTTTGTACTCCATTTTTCTAAAAACTCTTCTTTTTATTTTATTTTTATTTTTATTTTTATTTTTATTTTTATTTTTTCAAAATTCAATTTCAACCACACTTTCTTCCATAAAATAATTCTACACATATACCCAAAAAATATTCTTATTTTTTAACCGTACATTCTTCCAAAAATAATAATAATAATAATATTCCAATATACATTTTCCTCCAAAAATAGGGCTCAAAGTGGAGCTAACTAACAAAGATATGAATCACATGAATATTCAAGTAATCACAGAAATCAAAGAAATTTGTACCCATTCTGATAAAGAATGATTTTATGCAAGTAAAAATTAACACAAATGTGACAATTAAAAGTTCAGTAAATTTGACATCCTACTTGAACTGTGAATGAGTTATTGACTAAGAAAGTACTTATATGTGAAATTCACACCCTGAATTCTTTGATCAGTTAAAGTTCCTATATCAGTACTCTCATTTACATGGTTATAAAGAGCCAAACCACAAGAACTAAATTGATTATATGTTCTAAATTAAAGAATAACACAAAAATAAATAAATAAATATATATATATATATAAAATAAGGGTGAAAGGGAAGAATATCAAAAACCTACAATATGATTTGCAAAACATACTTTCTGCCATTGAAATTTAACAAACTTCAAAATTGGGGTACCGATAAGATTTCGTAATGCAATTAGGGTATGTTAAGTACTCTAGACTGAAGAACATTAATCAACAAAATTTTGACGTGATCTCTTCCTTAGCGTTGTTCAATCGAGGGTACCAAACATGCCGCGAAATAAGTATCTAACAGAAATGGATACTAATGCTGTGTAATTTCCAGTTAATTTATCAACTCTCAAGGTGCAGATCTTAGCACACTAGCTGTTAAGCATAGAACCAATTATTGACATATTCATCAGAAAACAAAAGATCTTATCCAAAAGAAATAGATTTTTCTTAGAAAACATTTACTAAAGATGAACTTAAGTATCATAATTCTGGAAGACAGGAAAATTGATTTCCACCTCTAATTCTTTCTTTAATTTTGTAGTATTAGTCAAGGTTATTAAAAAAAAAAATAATAAATAAATAAAGAAGAACGTCCGTCCTGGGGACTCCATTACGCTGCTCGCCCTATTAGCCGGCGGTAACCTCCCCCCTGCCCGGGGGACTCCCATCACTAGCTCCATATAGGACCCATGGAACCATGCGCTCTCTAAGTGTGCTTGTTCCCCCCTTCTTCCCAGTAATCGTTGACGTTTTCCCAAATTTTTTCGGGAAAAAAAAAAAAAAAAGAACTCTAAATTTAAGCAAGATTTTATAGAAAGGGACCATCTAATTATTTTTCCTTAAATTTATCAACAAATAACAAAATGTCTGGTCCTTAGTGACCTTGTAAAATTCAGATTAGATCTTTATTCTTGAAGGACAAGATGTTAAGTAAATACTTGCTCTACAAGTGCCCTTAAATTCAGCTAATATAATTTACCAATAGATGATAATTTAAATGAAATAAAGTCAACACAGACAAATTAAAATTAACAAATTATTTTAATAAACAACATATACCTAATTAATTTACATTGCATCCAGGCTTTCGAGCACATCAATGTGAGAAGTTTCATGCCACTCTATTGAAGGCATTAACTCATTGAAAGTATCCACCATCTGTGGAGAGTAGATGCCACGGTCAAATGTCCCAGAGCCCTGATCAGATCTTCTTGAAATTTCACCGTAACTAGGATGCAGTTGCCCTACTACTGTTGACGCCACCTCAAGTGGTGCAGCAGGTGCAAGATCCTCCGCCAATTTCACGGCGTCAGCCACCTCACGGTCGCCGACAACATTATTCTGCACGAACTTGGGGGAATACTCAGGCGTACAGGCGTCTTGTCCGGTGAGTTCTTGCACCAGGGACCTGAATTCCGATGCACTAGTGTTGAACTTGATAGGGTTTGTTATGTACACAACCTTGATTGGCTTTTTCTTGTTCTTGGGCTGTTTTGATGCCTTTTTTTGATTAACAGTGAGTAATTTGTCCATGAAGATATTTGTTTTAAAGAAAAAGGGCTTCAGATTTACAGGTTTTTTGAGGGAGGAAAAGGAAAGAGGAGGAAAAATGGAAGATTGGAAGAAAGGGAAAATGGAGATGGAAAATATAAAACTAGAAAAAGTGGGATATCCTTACGAAGCTAATTGGAGGCTCCGTACTGAAAAATAAATGGAGTATTAAAGTCATAGTCCACAGCTCAATAGCGAAGCGCGTACACTTTCTCCAACTCAACGGTTAGATTTTAGAACATAATTAATTATGTATAGTGATTAATTATTAAAAATATGTTTTGAGAAATTAATCTTATATGACTCCAATGGAACATGTGTTGTTGATTTTTGTATCCTATGTACGGATCGTTACAAGTTATAAAGTCAACCTATAGGTCCTGATATCGTTTTCACGAGAACTACTGTTTAACTATTGGTTCAATTATTCGTAACTTGAATTTCATAAAAAACAAATAAAATAGTTATTTTTCTTTTTGTCATTTTCTATTTTAAATATACTATAACAAATATATATATATATATATATATATTTTAATGATGGTTTGAGTGTTAGGATTCATGAGTTTATAATAATTATCAATTTAATATCAATCACCAAGTTTTATACAATTGATAATGTTTAGCTGAACAAATTCCTTCAATGTATCCAATTTACATCAATAAAGTTCTCATTGAGTCCATTTAACTAATTTAATTCCATATCTCTATATGAATCAATCTTAGTTAAACAAAATAATGCTCTAAGAGTTCATATAATTATCACAATAACTAGAATAAGTATCTCTACATTTTATACTAACTACCAACTTTTACTGCTTGATCTGAACAAATAATCCGTATCTTTACGTAATTATTGTTCATGAAATCAATGAATTAGAAGACAACTAATCCAAGCATTTAGAATAAAATCAAAAAAATCCACAAAATCAATTGGATATTTAAAACTTTTAAAGTAAAATTAAGGTTCAAAACTAGGTTATAATCATTCATCCTAACTAAGTACTTAATTGCACATCGTGGGAGAAGAATAAAAATACAAGAATGAATTAAAGTACATCTTCGATATTAAGGAAGAATGAGAAAAAGATGAAATCTTGCACCCGCCTCTTCTTGTAAAATCCTTGAAAAACTAGTTTCTTGATTGATTTCTTGATTTTCTCTTCTTTTGGCTTGAACAATATATGTACAATGATCCTCCATGTCTAGGCTTGAATATATGTGTGTAATGAAACTCCACAAGCCTCCTTTAATTGTTGGACTAAGGTTTGTATTTATAGAAACAATTTATGCAAAATCCATGTTCAATGATTTCCACCAAAAAGTCTAAATTGGTTTTTATTAAAAAAATTCAAATTGGTTTCTACCAAAGAATTTAGAGATTAAAAGGAAAATAAATTCCTTTTTCAACTGGACTCCTTTTCTCAAGTGACTTTAGTCCTTCATCTTCTAATCTAGTAATTAAATCATCTTCATTTTAAATCATAATAGTTGACCTGAGAAAAGTTTGAAGAATGCAATTTAGTCCTCGAACTTTTCAAATGACGAATTTAAATCTCGAAACATATGAATTTATATTGAATGCCCCATTAAAATTCTCAATTGATCTCTTGCAATTCTGTTAATCTTTAATTGCATCAAATCAACTCCAATTAAATTTCAAATAACCTATTTTTGCATAATTTATATTCAAGTTGGGATTTTCCTATAATTAACATAATTTACACAATTAAATAGATATAAGGATGAAAGCTCGAATAAGCGCATAAAATGTACTTATAAACATGCCAACTACTTATACATGACAGTGGCGTGCTATTCATCACCACTACAATGACTCTAATTGAATGTGCCAACTAATGATACTTGAGAGAGACTTCACGTTCATCATCAATAATGAATAGCATTATTCAAGCATGAAGTCACGAAAGGTCCACGCCCCATCCCACACCTCTCTCCTTTGTGTTTAAACAATTGGACAAGTTGGTTGGGAACCTACTCTAAAATGGTTGGCTACCTTTCCTGGCGCAATATCACCTCCGAAGTAATTTTTCTGAGGTAACATAAATTATTCCCAATGTGATACTTTCGAGGTGAGGTGCCACATCCTTTACAGTGTATTTTCAATACGATGGGCTTCTTCTACCAATGGCATCTTTTGCAAATACCACATCGATCGAAAGATACCTATATACCAAACACACTAGGCAGCATACATCATATATGCTTTGTCAACTATACATTTCAGATCAATTTTTATCATATAAGGCGATTGATTTTTAGCTTGTATCAAGATGATATCACATGTTAAACATTCAATGGACACCACTTCTTCTCTCTTGCGATGGAAGTGCACACTTGTGTCTTCCAAAAGTAAGATTATTTTAGCAAATCCAGTATTCTCTTCTTAAACTTAAAATTTATATTTTCTTTCTTTGTGTCTCTCCACACTCAAATATACATAATTGATTATTAGATTTGAAGGTAGGAGTACCCATGATCATAGCACCTTGCTAGATCAATGGTCACGAAGAATCTACTGTAAGTGTCTAAGTGTGTATGCGACATATACGCAGATAGAATATGAGAGAAGTTGAGATCAGTTGATTAAGTGACACCTTCGAATTTTGAGGTCAAGGGTATAAATAGTCTTAATCTCGTTGTTGAAATTTGAAGAGTTAGACACGCACGCTATTCCATAAATCCACTAGCTTACAACAACCTTAATTTATTTTTTACATAGTTATATCAATATATTCAATACTATTTTAGGAAGTGGATTAAGAAAATTTAATAAATTATATTTAAATGGTGTTAAAGACAATATTTAGATGATATACATCGTCTAACGACTTCAACTTTTTTAAATCAAGTGATGTTTTGATCATATATATTGCCCCTATCCTATATAACTACTAAAGTTGTTCAAATCAAGTTGTTTAATATGTATCAGATTAAAGATGTCTTTATTTCAAACCTCATTGTCATCCATTTACACGAATTATGTAGCTGTTAGACTGTATCGAAAATAATTAAAATTACCTACAAGTGAAGGGGCATTTAGAAAACAATTTTAAAATGATATATATATGTGATGCTATTTATTAATTTAAACTCTATAGATCAAATGATACAATAAATGAGTAAAAAATATATATAGTGATAGAATGGTATTATAACAATTAATTACAAATAATGTTTTGTGTTACTTAAATATTAAGAAAAATAATCTAAGTTAAAAGTTTGAAGTACTCAAAACAAATTAATCCCAAGTAAGTTTTATTGGTAATTAAAATATATCTTTGTATAAATTCACCAAAATATATTTAGACAAACTTTTTTTTTAATAAATCATTTTTTCCCTCAAAGCACGCTAATGGTAGAAACGGTGTCATTGTCACGCGTATTAATTAGATTCGCCCCGCATCAAATTGGATCTGTTTCCTCTGTCGGGTCACAATCTTGTAACCCTTTCAATGAGCGCACAATTAGTGTACCAAATCTCTCTACGTGGCGCATGCTGAGGAAGCCGGCTCTTTCTAACGTCATGCCTGCCCAAATCGATGTCGTCATCATGTCACATCGCTTTCTCGGCAGAGAGCCAAGCTGGACCATTTAGTATGCTGCTGATCAGGAGCACTAGAGAGTTCAGCCAATTCCATGTGGCCAATAATTGTAAGGTATGTTTGATTCACTTCCAATTTTATGTGTGTTCCATTTTCCATTTTTGCTGGTGTTTGATAGACATTTATTTCTTAGCAATCGGATTTCCAGGTTTGCTTCACACGATGACCGTTTCCAGCTTTTCATTGAGTTTGTTTACCCACTTATATGGTGGGAAATGGAATTTCAGTTTTATTTTTTGTAATGGAAATAAATTCTAAAAATTATTATAAAAAAATATTTTCCTTTAATGGACAATTTTCATGTAAAATAAAGTCAAACGAATACCAAAAATAGATGATTTTCTTTATTATTTTTATTATTTTTTTACAATGAAAATAAATTTCATCCCCAATACTAGTAAAATCTATCACTTTAATTGACAATTTTCATATAAAACTAGTTCAAATGAACACCCAAAAAACATTTTTATTTCAACGAATTCCACACGAAAAATTATACCAATCAAACATGATAATTTACAATTCTCAGGAAAATAATTTCTAGGCAATTCAATTCCCTGGAATTCGTTTTCTTTCCACTCAAATTTCATCTTTGCAATCAAATGGACTGACCAAAAAATTCGTTTGATATATGCTTACTTTTGCTTAAAAGTTAGAAATGTATTTACTTTTAGTAATTTATATATTTAATCAAACATATATTTTGAAGTTATTTTTTTATTATTAAGAATTTGGCTTCATAATTTTATATTTAGTTGATGTGGAATTTTAACCTTAATATTTTAATCAGGAAAATTTATATTTTTAGAAAGTTATCAAAATAACTTATTGATTAATTTTATAAAATTACTTCTAGTTAATTTTTTTATTTTTATTTATTTATTTATTTATTTTTGAAGTTGTTTCATTGTGACTTACTCTAAAAACTGTTAAACAAGTACGGTTTGGCTACTACACTTTTCTAGCTTCTATAAACAAAAACAAAAGTAGAAACTTTACCAAACGGGTCCTAAATAGGTGAAGAGGAAAAATTAAAATTTTGACAATTATAATGGTCAATTTTATTTAATATTGTGTACTAATTTTTTTTTCAGTACACTTGATATAACTCGACATAATTGCATTGAATTATTTATTTTTTTCCTTGAGTTTTTGTACTTTTGCGCACTAATATATGTGGAAATTATCGTTGTGTGGTCAATTATTAAGATAAAATAAATCGTGTCAAAATATTTGTCATTAATGTGAAGTAGAAGGATAATACCAAACTTCCTATTCTTCTAGTTACGAGTACAATTTGAAATTGACCAATTGAAAATGACTATAAGGCAAGCATAAATATCTTAAACATGTTAAGAGTAATTGATTATTTTCCACCTATCATAAAAGGATTGAATTTTCTTAATAATAAAATAAATATTAATGTCAAATAATTAACCTTTTCATTTCAACTTTAAATAGCTTTGGAGTTGGTTATTTTTATTAATACTTCACAATTGCTTATC